GGTGGGGGGGGGGGGGCAACCAGAATAAACAGCAGAAGCCTGCTCGGAAAATACAAGTGGGCTACCACGCAGGCGGCCGAAATGAACCAGAAACCGCAACAATTGTAAGACTTATGGAAGCAGAATGTGAATAAGTAAGCAATCAGATTTCGATAAAAAAGAAAGAGAATATGCAGTGACAGCAACACTGCATTTCTAGACAGTAACAACAAGTGGATTCCTTCCTCATTTGCCAATCGGAGAATAATAAAGAGTAGGTTAAGTTTCGTTAACAGACTTCCCCGAAGTCTGTGAAATATAAGCTGAAAATGATTTCAAGCAGGTAAATCGGTAACACGGAACAATGCAACAACAGATAAGCAAAAAAATAAATCATTTGATGTGCTGAACAAGAAAAAGGATGGACGCTTCTAACAGAGTGGACAGAACAGGGGTTTATGCGTGGTACTATTTCCAGGTCTGAGCTCAGCCCAGAAAAATGAGACAGGTTCGATTAAAACAACTACATTCAAGGGAACCTTGAGATTTCATGAAACAATGGTAATATATCCGATAATGGTTTATGGCATAGACTTCAAAACATACTCAAACCTACTCATCCAAAGGTAATAAGATGATGTTTTCACACAGTACCCAATGTTGGACAATAGTGGTTCACGATCGATAGCATTCATTTCTTAAGAGCAAAAAACAGATGGAGTGAAATCCAACTGTTTTACGTTCTCTTCAGCTGTGTACAAACATTCATGCGAAAGTTCGATCAGAACAACTGCAAACCCTTAGGGGCCGAAAACACGCAACTAGGCAAATACTGCGAAGGTCAAGGGCCACCAGACACAATTGGATTGGACAGAGGGAAAGGGTGGGAGGACATGCTTGTTGATCGGAAACACGGTGGCAGCTCTAGCAGAAAAGACCAGGCTAGCCATAAAGTCTAGTCATTTGCAGGAGTCCTGTCTGTGATGCCGAATCGTTAGGACCTTCGTAAACCGTAACAATCGTGCAGTCTTCTGACGGCCCAACACTCCAAATGCTTGCTTCAAGTCGATAGCTTCAACGTCCGGAATGACTTGCCCAGTCGAACGTTTTGGTGTTAGATGTTACCGTTTGAATCGAGCTTACAAATGAATGTTTGTACACAGTGGAAGAGATACCGCGAAAACGTCGAATCGGTTCCGTGCTTATGCTATTTCCTGAATATATTGTAATCTTAAATGGAACCGAAAGCATGAAATTTTCAAATTAACATCCATTTCTTCTCCTGATTCTTCTGTGGACTTCGATTGTCAGTGGTTCTTCCACGAGGATTAGATTAAAAAATTGCTGACTTTGGTTTCTACTGAGCATCGCTTGCCCGTATCGGTGCACTCAAAGTATAGAGATGGACGCCTACAGTGCCACTGATTACATTGTTGCTTACTTGTGCATCGGATTACGAACAAGATATCAAAGTAAAATAAAAATGGATATGAAATTCAAGCACACTACATACCGGATGGAGGTGGTCCCAACAGCAATGAGAGCAACCGATGGCTGATACCCAAACAGGGAGAGAGCACAATGATGATATTTGCTTGGGTCATCAGATTTTCTCCAGCACGATCGATAATATGGACCATATGCTGCAACAACCAGGCCAACAAGTAACGATGCGGACGTGGTAGCTGTTGGTGTACCAGGCGAGCTAGTGATTCATAAACTGTCGGGGTCTCGGCTGGTACAGACTCCATCACGGGGCCCAAACTAGTTGTTAGAACGGGTTCTGGTAAAGTTCGGAGGAAGTATTTGATTACGCTACAAATCACAGAAAGATCGTGTGGTAGTTGCGGTTGAGCAGATAATGAAGCGGATGGGCGAACATCGGCCACGAGTGAACGGTTGCGTTTCGGCGAGGGAGCGGAACCGCGGGTTGGATGATCGGAGTGACCTGCATGNCTGCATGTGTGTGTGTAAATAACGGTAGATTAAGCGGGGAAACCAGAAATGCCTGGCATAAGCGTTCCGAGACAAATCAGTGTTAAGTCACGAAACGGAATCTTCGACAACATTGAAACAAGTTGATAATTTACTTTGACATTTATTTTTCACTCCTTTTCACGGAAAAGACAACTGTGTAAACAAGCCAGAGACAAGAAGCTGAAACCAATCAGAAGTGAGGGGATGGAGAGACAAAGAAGTGGGGGAGGGGGGAGCTAACAGTGGCGGTTTTGAGTGACCAAAACGAGTACACAGAACCAGAAATCATTACTGCACAGCTGTTTGACCGTTACGATTCAATGGAAAATGACCAGCAAAAAGTCGGAACATACCTGCATGAGTTTGACCCTTGCCTTTCGATGCGGAATCAAAACTCTGGACACCTGTGTGATGTGTTCCCCGGGACCCGGCCGGATGTTTCATCGCTTCCAAAAGTTGATAGTACGAAGGAGAAGTGGGTGGGATTTGAAGAAAATCTTCCCCCTTGTCCAAAGCAGTAACCAGAGCTTGTATCTGAGAGTTGACACCAGGAACCTAATGCAGAACAAATAAACAAGAACAGTGACCGGTGAAGAAGAAAATGTCTGACCGACCAGACCTGATGGAGTGACAATATTGTTCGGGGAAAAGGAATCACTTGAAGAACATTCTCTTATTTTTTCTAACGGCTATTGTGAGTGAGAGTTAGTTATCCTGCTTGCACTGAACAAGAAGGCGAGCAGAATCATCCGAGAGATGGCGACGAGCTCAAGGGGACAAATCATAGGTAAAAAGTGTCGTGATATACACCACCAAATCAAGCTAATGCTAGTCGGCAACATTCGGTACGTAAATAGGGATGCTATTCTATGTTATGTTCTCCAGATTCTTCATGGTCTCATGTACATAAAGTGAAGGTGTGTGATGTAGACAAAGAACGAGAAGGGGGATTAAAAATTGCTCACCCGATAGATTCCCTCCGTGCTCAGGCCATATTGTTCAACATAGTCGATACAGTAACGAAAGAATGCCGGTAGCGGCACACCGTCGTGACTTGGACTTCGTTCATAGGCAACCGAAAGTCGGACACCAAACACGGGCTACGAGCGGTGAGCAAGATACAAAAACGAAAGAGCGTAGAGTTTCACCAAGAGAGGCATAAAAAGGGTACCAAATTGATGATAAAATAACACGGACAGAAAGAGCGTACTTTATGCGGGAAGTCTTTGTTCGACGTTGAGACTGATGCCACCTTAGATGCACGCTCACTTTTCTTCCGCAAGGATGATCGACCTTTGGATTTCGAGTTGACATTTTCCATTCGCGATTTACCGGTGCTAGTCTTCTCGCGCGATTTCGCGTGTTTATCTCGCTTGCGATCCTCCTTGTGCAAAGGGGTTGATGGCTCCGACACATGTACAACTACATCCGGAGCATGTGATGGATTCGGTTTTCGTAACTCTGCTGGAGTGGATTTCTCTGTTTGCGGGGTGAGCACGGATTTGGCCTTTCGTGATTTTTTGGACGTAGAGAGCAGAAAATTGGTTTTAGTCTTGCGGACAAGACGTACAGCTAATCCACTACGATCGACAGTGTGCGGATCCTGTTGGAGAACAAATATTGGAAATAGGTTGTGTTTCGTATTTCTGAATTCGTGAGGATGGGAACAGTTTGAGCATCTGACAATTAGAACGGCATCAATGTTTAACGCAAGACAACACAATAGCATGTCTGATTACGAACAGATCCTTCCAATTTTAAATGAACATCTATGTGAACAGAAATCGGGCTTACTGACAACACAATGATTTATTTATATTTTTAAGAGATAGATTATAAACGGTTTCCTCTGCGACCGTTAGAGGTGAAGAAACCAGTCTTGGCATGCCCAAGTGACATCAAAACGAAAGCTCAGACACAGAATCGTTGTTTATTTCGATAAAAGAGCAGAACTAGCCTAGTTCTCACGGCTGCACCGTTCACGTGCGGTAGACAATCGACGGAGTATAGCCCAAGTGAGAGGTTTAGAGACGATGTTGATTGAACTAACTCCTATGTGTTTTTCACGATAGGACCTGTCACTTTTCTTATCAATCGGCATGATTCATACCATTCCTTTGGAATCTGTTCCCTGTCGCACGTTGTTCTCAGGAGTTTTGTTATCCCCGAACCCAAGGTTGACCCTCTATTCCTGAAAACCCCTAGGGACCGTCCATCTGGGTCGGAGACCTTATACCTTTTGAGGTAACTAATTGCCTTGGCAACTTGTATTTGAGACGGAGGACTGGTTTTTACTGGCGAGATTTGTCCAGTCGAAGCAGGTATGTAGATTTTTTGTGTTGCCAGGGCTCAGCTAAACTGTGCCTTAAAATATTCCGTCCATCAGTCAAGCCCGCTCTGCCGAACATTAATCATTGTGAGCCGACAGACGCCCTTATTGCTTTACTCAGCTATACTTTCCTTGAACCCGTACTCCTAATTAGACCACTTCTGGCGATCATTCATCAGGTTCTTCATGAGCTGGTAGTTACGAGGTTTGCTCACTTTGTCGTATTTGACATCACAAAGAATGGATTTTATGAACATCTAGCTTCTGAGATAGTTTGACCCAAAGAATATTATCACTTGCAATACATACCAGTCAGACGAGATGCGTTCTCAGGTTATACCTGAGCTAGATTACATCGATAAGGAGAGGCTTGAGTGCCTCTCCCTCACAATCAAATTTATGTTAGGTATCCACGTTTCACCAGATACCGGAGAGTTTTAGTGTCCACATTTTCCCTCGAATGTACTCCGTGCATTTAAAAAAAACAAACCAAGAAATATAAAAAAACAAGGTGAACGTACTGAAGTCCCCGGGTCCGTGCGCTGCGGAAACTGAGGTGCAGGCGAGCTGATAATCACAGGAGCACTGGGTACTACAGAAGCAGAAACGAGAGGAGGTGGACCGGGACAACTATTTGTGGCATCGGTTAGATGTGTAGTTGTCGGGGTAGTCATGGATACCTCCATATCGCCAGGCGCACCACCGATAAACAAAGACTCGAGTGACGCCAGTTGTAATGATGAGCGAATTGAGCAAATTGATCGAAACGGGGAACGGAATCAATCCGAAAGGTTTACACATACAATCGATAGAAGCAGCTGAAATAAAAGAATCGACGAATGCCGTGATGTTTGTTTACCAGACATAGCACGATGAAGCTGACCGAAAACACTGGTAAGCAAACAAACTGTTTATGTCACAATATCTTCACAGTACAAGAATTTAATTCTGCTTTAGGAGATGCGCGGTGGGAAAAGCTGCACCTAAGCAAACAGCATCCCAGGTTCATCACATGCCAACGCACAAAACGATCGTCTTTAACCAGTAGAATGCATTGCAGGTACGCAAAACTAGCAAATATTCTTTGCCAACATATTAAGCTTCTATTAGAGGGCCCACAGTTCAAGTCTCACCAAGGATTTGATGTAGCACTGTTAGTGAGTCCCGAGAACGAGCAATTATTTAGTTATCTTTTTCGATCATCACACAATAGTTCCTATCGCAAATAAATTGCACTTCACATGTGCAGAATGGATGAACAACCTCTAGGGAGTGAGACCTATAAGCAAATACATACGATGATCAAAAGTAGTGCCAAATGTCCAGCGGCAGAAGTGAATGAGTTCACCTCAAACACGGTCAGTTAGCTGCGAACGTTGTACGGATGGTTAGCAATTCGAAAAGAAACCAGAGGTAATCATGATTCTAAAATCTCTGCATCCGGACAATCAAGAAATACGATAACAAGCAGTTGTCTAATATTCATGGGAAAGTTCAAAATAGAAAGTTTAGTCTGGCATGTGAGCATCGTGGTTTGCGCTCATATGCCTGATAGAAAGCTTGATTGGGTGAGAAACGTCCAACGGGAGTATACAGACAGCCATCATCGGTTTCTTCACAAAGAACAACGAACTGTCATTGAAAGCATCGGAAAAATCTGAATAAGTGATCACGATGAATCCTGTGGTGAGTTGACGGGTTCAGTGGGGCACACGCTTTGCAAGCAAGTTTCAACGATCAAGCTCTGATTGGATCGATAGGCACTCCTCGATGATGAGCTTTAAGTTGAAGCTCGTGTGGCGCATATAAGGGTAGGGTTGATTAGATAAACCGCACACTGTGCTTGAACACGACGGTTAGCGATCCGCCAGTCACGAATATTATTTAGAGCACACGAGCACTCACAAGTAACGATGAAAATTATCGGAAGAGAAGGAGAACTAGATTTGAGATCGTCGGGATCTTGGCAAATTGACTCGCTTTCTCCGGCAGGAATTACCGACAAATTTGGAAACCAATTATTAAAGTATTTACTAATCGGTCGAAACATCTGCTACTAAACCTAGTGAAATAAGCAATGTCGCAAAAAACTGAGCTATTCGGGTAGCAAGTGCACATGAGTCCAGGTTGTATCGGGTCATCACAATCACGGAACCTGGCATATTTTGGACGGATAGTACCGCTTCTTGAGCCTGAGAAAGCCTCAGTATAGTCGGGGGTGGGTGTCTGATCAGCCTACTCTTGCACCTCGAGAAATGCGCTAATAAAACCGAAGGCTACCTGAGTAAATTCACTTGTCTTGGTCTGGGTATTGTATATATATACATATATATATATATATATATAATCTGATAGAAGCCAATAACGTTGTGACGATTGCGATCCAACTTATTCCACGATGGTTAGCGCAGGCGTTGCGAGATCCCTTCTTAAAAAAATTGGAACAATGAGTGATTCGATCCATGATGATGGAATGTACTCGTGTGACTATGTTACGCATTATATCAGTAATGGAGTCTACGAGGTCATCGTCCCCAGCATGAAGAGTGAGAGGAAGCCCGGACAGTTCTGCTGCTTTTCCTTCATTCAGGGCTTAGATACGAGTTCAAAAATCAGCTGCAGTAGGAGGTTCGCATGACACTGGCCACGAAGCCTCAGATACAACAGATGAGACAGTCTTGTTAACGCTCGGCCAGCTGAACTGTTCGGTGAAGTACTCCGCTCACCGGTCAAGAATTTGTTCCCTATTGTGAATAGCTTGCCCACTTTTGTAGCAGATTGTTTCACTAACTGTGGCTCGCCGACCTCCCGTGTTACGTACCAGTTGGAACAGTCTGATTAGTCTCTGATGCAGCTGCTACTTCCATTTCACTAGCTATCGTCGCCCACCAGTTCTCACGGTTTTCTTTGAGACTCTTCCTGAGTTGATGCTGCAGACACCACGTAACCCTGCTTTGGTTCCATACAGTCGGGATTTGGCGCTTTTTCTACCTCAGTACTACTGACTGACCACGGATCCAATGTCTCGGAGGGGGTTGAAGCTCAGATCCACAAGCAACCCTTGCTGTGGAGTGCATCGCTCGTCTAATGTGATCCCATTCTTCATTTACACTACCACGCTTGCCCTAGTTCTGATCCAAAACGTACATGAACGGCTGGGTCAGATAAGCGATGATCTGCCAATCGAAATTGGTGAGATTTTCTGCGACTAGTGAGTTGGAGAGTAAACTGCATCAAAACTAACAGATTAAACGCAGGTGGTCTAATACGACCTGCAGTTTTGTACTGAGCCAAGCCAATAGTAGCTTACTGCTATCAGGTCGATCTGAGTTAGCGTACCAGTTGAATAGAAGCGACATGTTGCTGACCGTTGAGAGCTGAATCGGAACAGATGATCGGCGCAGAACTGAAAAAATCGATCGCTATTATCTGTTTGCTGGCAGGGCAGAGCACAATGACCACCCAGGCAAGCTTCCAATGAGCTCAGTTTTCCAACTTGAGCGTTAAAATCACCTGCGAGAACAACTATATCGTAGCTTCGGCTCACCCCGATCAATTCGGTGAGCTTATCACAAAAACTCGTCCTCTTCTGTGTCAGAACTGCAGTTGGTCGGTGCATACGCTGAAATGAACAAACACTTGTTGGTGTTGCTTCTCTTCCGGACGCTGATAGACAAATCTCACGGAACTAACGGAGGTGGCGGCCACCTGAACGGATTACAACCACAGAGTTGTCAAGAAGGAGAATTTCGAGAGTGATGAGCCAGAATACTGGCAGAGAAATGGCCGTGAAACACAGCGAGAGAAAACCCCTGATTTCGTTGAAATCGTTGTTCCCGGATAAGGCTCCCTTGGGAACGGCAGATTGTGTTTCGTCCAGACCCATATAGAGATGGGGGATTAGATAGAGCCACGTTTGGTGGACATATGTGCTGTTGTTTATATGGCGGCACTTCAGTCAATTGAGTCAGCAGAATCCTGGGATATAGCAGTGAAGATTGCCAGCGAAAACAGAGTGTAGTTTGACAGTGCAACAAATCGGACTGCCTCTATTGAGAACATGACGAACAAACACATTTGTTTCAGATTGCCAGACAGAACAATGAACAGACTGAGAATACAGGTGAAACGGAAACCAAATACGCTTCTAAAAGTGTCGATAGCAAAGTGCAAGCAGCATGTCGGAGGCTGTGTTGGCGACCTTGGCTCAAGGAAGTTACCGCCCAGATAGGAAATATCATGTAGAATAAGGAAAGCAAAGCACCTAGTGAAAAAATTTAGGAGACGAACGGCGATAGGTTTGTGTATCAAAGTGAACACGATACATGTCACTGGGACCATAGCCGTACGCGAAATTCGTGAGAAATCAACTTACTGGTCAGGCAACAAGAGTTAATCAAAATCAGTTTTATCATGGGAATTACCTACAAGCTCATACTCCACTTGTATCCATAAGATATTTTCACAATTGAATCGTTTCACGGCGAAGGAAAGAAGAACACACAGTTCCAGGTAGGAGATTATAGAGTGTAGGCTCCAATGAATTTTCGTTTGCTGGTGTAGGAATGTGAGTTGTACCAAAATTTCATCGAGCCTCTGTTTGAAAGATTCGATAGTTGGTGCACAAACGACGTGAGATGGAAGGGTGTTCCAAGTACTGCATACTTTGACTGCAAAAGATTGGCGCTCGCATTCCAGTCGACACTTTGGAATCAGTAACTTGAAACGTTGCCTCATAAGGTGTACATTGTTCGATACCATGAGCTGCTGCCGACATGGATGGTTTGGGTTCTGCAGTATTTGATAAGTCAAAATCAATTCTACCCAAATTCGGCGGTACTGAGCAGAATATAGTCCCAAAGATCATAAACATCCCTCATATATGAGGGGGTCATCTTGGTGACCATCCATTGTGAGTGCTCAAGCATCTTGCGATCACGTTGCAACCAAGGGCTCCAAGCTTGGATAGAGTACTCTGTGTACGGTCGAAGGTACACCGATAGCAAACGTGGGAACAGTACGGATTCACCCCGGCCAAAAACTTGCCTAAGTAAGCCGACATTCTTCACAGCAGCGGACGAAGCCTCAGTGCAGTTGATCGAGCAGCTTAAATCCTCTTGAGCAACAATAACTAAGTCTTTTTCACTTGAAGTATGTAATAGCTGCCGATTTCCGAGGGATAGGACTTCACATTTAGAAACATTGAATCCAATGTCATTCTCCTTAGACCATTGATAAGCTGTATTAAGTGATTCTTGAAGTGCTAGAGAGCCCTCAGGTTCTGTTACTGTATTCCAGATTTTGATGTCGTCTGCAAACAGTATTGTTTCTAACACTTTCGGTAGATCATTTATGAATGCGAGAAACAGACGGGGACCGGGTACGGACCCTTGTGGAACATCGCGGGTGGCATTGATAAATCCGGATATAGAATCACCCACTGTCATCTGATACGGTTTAATCGAATAGAAGGGTAAATCAATGGCAGTTGAACTTTTGCCCAACAATGTGTTTCCAGCCAAGTGAATCACCGGGTACGGCACGAACAGACCATTGGGTATTGTGTCATATCAATTGGAACAGAGTGGAAACTTTGCTATTAACAAGGCCATAAGAGTGATTGCCCTATGTGAGACCTTTTACATTCTCCCCATTTCCTCTCTTACTGTCTTTTTCTTACATTTTT